CAGAACCACCAGCTCGCTAGTTCCTCAAGGACAAAGCTGGCCTCTTGATCCTCTCCCTCCCCCTCCGCTGAATGCGCAGGCTTCCGTGCAGCACCTGGCACATGTCAGCAGAGCCTTGTTCCAAGAGCTCCCGGGTCCTGACTCTGCGGCTGGCTTGCTGTGGGGCCCTGGGCCAGGCCCTGCCCTCTCAGGGCCTCAGTTCCCTCATCTGTCACAAATCACATGAATAAGAGTCCGTGTTTATTGAAAATGTCTTTTCAATACCTTTTTAACCCTACGAAGCAGGTATTATGACTACCTCCATTTTACAGGTGAGGCACAAAGAAGTTAGGTGACTTGCTCAAGGTCACGAGATGGTCCGTGGAGGAGCTGGGGTTATACAGCCTAGGCCTCTGGGCCTGAAGCCCTGCTGTGAGCCTGGGCTGTTTCCTACAACGATGGAGACAATGTGACATTTCCTCTCACTCTGGTGCCTTCCACCAAGGCTGAGGCCAGCCCACAGGGGGCATGTGATGAGGCTTCAGCGCAGAGCCGAGCAGGACAGTCTCCTGCACGGAGGGCCAGGGGCATCTCAGACCCAAAGCTCCCGGCAGCCAGTGCGGCCCAGTGTCAGAGCTACACCCTCGGAATGGCGATATTTCACCAGGTGGAGGAGGAGACCACGTCATGAAAGTCTCTGCTGCTCAGATGAGGAAACCAAAGCCACAGAATCCCTGGAGCATTTCCCCTCAGCACATGACTGTACAGGAACTCTTAGGACCTCTACTTAGCATGTGATCCCCTTTCCACGCCGAACGCTTCCCAGGGGACCATGCCTCGGATCCTAGGGGCTAGTAGAGCACCCGGCACATGAATGAATGAATGAATGAATGAACGAATGAGCAGGTAAATACAAGTGACCTGCGCTCATGTAGCTAGCAGGACTGAGACCTTTCAGAGCCCTTTCTGCTCCCAGCTCGATTCTGGTCAGATTGAAAGAAAGAATTCTACACTGAGAGAAAAGGAGAAAGTTCCTCCAGGAGGCCACATCTTCCTGTGGCATCAATTTGTCACAAGTTAGAGACAAGAAGAGCAGTGTGGGAGAGGGAGAGAGCCTGAAGACGCTGCCTTCTAGATACACCAGGCACAAGGGTGTGATGGGGCAGCGGGCGGGCCCCTGGGGCTGTGGCCAGAGGAGGGATTGTCAGTGCTTATTGGGCTAGGGCTGAGTGGGAGGTAGGGGGTCCTATCATGGGACCAGAACCTGAGCTGGGAAGTGCTGAGTAGAGGGAAACTGGCCAGATCCCAACATCTCTGACTCCCTCCCACCCAGTGTAGGCACAGAGGAGCAGCCTGTGTGTGCCCCCCCAAATCACGCCTGTGTTCTAAAGACCCGAAGAAGCTGCCTGCATCAGTCACTAATCCTAGGACAGGTGCTGCCCTTGATTGACCAGAGCATTTTCCTGCAAATGGGGAAAATTTGAAAGCTAGGCCCATTTTATGGCTGAAAAGGCCCAAAGAGGCAAGAGTAATTGTGCAGAGGCCACATGGAGAGCTGGAGCTGAGAACCCAATCCTCCCAAGCCTAGCCTGGGTCGCAGCCACTCCATGGGCCGGGGTGTGCTCTGGCACCTAGGAAGCGGGGCCACTCAGAAGGGCTGAGCCCTGTGTTTCTCAGCCAGGAGTCTGGACTGACCTGGGCCAACTCCTCTCACGCATCTGGTTCCATCTAATCAAAACCAGCTTGTGTGCTTTTCTCCCTGCTCGGGGGTAGGCCCCAAAGAGCTGGACAGGCATGAGGAAGAGTCAAGTGATAGGAGGAATCTAATTTGCCAAATGGCTCTGGCTCCATCAGCCCTCCCAGGGGCTATGGGAATCAGAGGTCACTTGTGTGCAAAACAAGCTCAGGCTTAGCTCCTCTGACATGCTCTAATTTTGAGCTATAACAATCATTATTGCAGTTGACACTAATGGTGGGAAATTGTCACAACAGACTGAGGCTCAGAGAGGTAGACAACCTGCCCCGTCCCCAGGTCCCTGTCTCCCCCACGGGCATTCACGGGCAGCTGGCCACCGTGCTGTGTGCTGGCTCTGCCCTCTTCAGGATTTCCACACAGCCATGGAAACCCATTGGAATGCTGCAGCTTGTCATTGGAGAGCAATCTGATAAGTTATCTGTTGTTTTTTAGGTTGATTTCATTGCCCAGACTAAAAAATCAGGAGAGGCCACACAAAAATCCTAAGGAGAGAAGGCACTTCCTTGACCAACAAGCTGGTTAATGCAGATTGGGACTGAGGCCCCCAAATCCATATTCTGGTTAAACCTGGATTCCTGGCTTCCTTAAAAATCAGGATCTGGCCGCCTGGGGCATCTGGGTGGCGTGAGCCACGTGTGCCCAGGGTCCCATCCAACACTAGCCCCTGCACAATTTATGTCATGCCAGCCCCCGGAAGTGTCGGCGTTCCCCCAGATGGCCTCCCCTCTCCCCTGAGCATCACTTCCTACCTCTGTTCAACCAGCTTTCCCACAGCTACCTCTGCCCAAAATCCAAACTCTTGCCACGGCCCACCAGGCCCCATGTTGTCCAGCCCCCACCTTCCCGCCTTGGGCTCCTCCAACTTCGCGCACTCTGCTCCTTCATCCTACCCTTTGTTCTGCTTTTCATGTGCCCATTCCCACCCCAGGGCCTTTGCACATGCCCAGCCTGGAACATTCCCCACAGTCTTCCCATCTCGCTTTCTCATCAGCTCCAGCACCGTCTGCTGTACCACCCATGTCTTTCCTCTCGTGCCGCATCACCTCCCGAGGAGCGAGCCCCATCGCTGGTGTGCCTGGCTCGGATCCTGGCTCTGCCTCTTCCCTAACTTCACTGGGCTTTGGCTTCCTCAGCGTCACAACCCAGCCTCACCAGGCAGTGGCAAAGGTGGAGTGAGCTGGTCTCTGGGCAGCGCTCAGGCCCATGCCTGGCTCAGCACAGGCAGCTCCTGCTGTCACTGCTCCCACATCATCCCCTCCCCAACCCCAGTCCTGTGGGGGACGCTAAGGTTTGTAACCTCCTCAGCGCAGCAGATGCTTACAGGCCAAACCTGTAACTAACAGGCTGTGGCTGCAGGTGTGACATGCCCACTGCACACCCTCCTTTCAACCAGGGGCCTCAGCTCCACTTGGAGCCCTGCTGGGGAGAAAGCCGGAACAGAGCACACACAGCCTGGCTGAAAAGGAGGCTCACACCACCCTGGCCTGGGACTCTACAGCCTGCTCAGAGCAGTCACTCTGTGAACTCCCCTCCCCGGATGAAAGCAGAGGCCCCTCCCCGCACTTGCTCACTCTGTCCCTATAAATCTGCTTCTTATACAACCTGTTGGGCTCAGAGTCCTGGATTATAGGGTTTTCCTCCATCGTGGGCAGCTTGGCCCCACAGCCCACAACTGGGAGGTCTTACAAGGCGCAAAACAAACTCCTGATGCCCGGGAGCCACCTGGGTGGAGTGTGGACAATGTGACAGCAGCAAGTGCCAGGAGCCACAGAGCTCGGGCTTTCTGTTCTTCCGGGGACACCACAGAGCCATGATTAGCAGGCCCGTCCTGTCTTTGAGGCAATGAACACTAAGAATCCTAAGGAGCCTGTTTGAGTATTTCCACTTTATTATCCTGAGTACTTTTTAGATGTTTTTGCTTTCACTTTCTCAGGAACTGTTTTCTGATGGAACTCCAGCCTGGGCTGGCAGAGTTGCACCTCACAGCCTCCTGCCTGCCCACGGGAGGCTGGAACCTCGTCCCAGGGTCCTGCTCCATCTCCGAACTGCCGGGTAACACCACGTCCCCAGTTTGCGGGCGAGGAAGCTGGGGAGCAGTCAGTAGAGCTGCCCATGGGAGGGCTTCTGCGTGGGAGGGGAGGAGCTGGATTTACACAGGGTCTGGCTGGCCTGGAGCCCAGTGCGTGCCCTTTGGTTCCCCATCTCTCAGCGTGAGCCCCTCTCCGAGCCTTCTGCAGGTGCTGTGTCCTAGAGAGGCGCGCCCTTCCCAGGAACGCCCCCGAGGCCCACCAGCCTCCAGCACCTCCTCCTTGTTAAGGGTCAGCAACGGGGGCGTGCTCGAGCTGGGGCAGTCCTGGCCTTCTTCCTTGCATCTATTTCCTTGACAGCTCACGACAGCCAGGCCCTGGGAGCCTTGGCTCCTGCCTCTGCCCTCACAGCACACTCTGCTTTGGCACACAGCCTTGCCTCAAGATGCCTGACCTTGCATTATCTGAAGCAAGAGACGTGCCTCAGGAAATGCTGTTCTCTGCCTGGAAGTCCCTCTCCTCCAAGCACATGTGTCCTGGCTTTCTGGCCAGCTCTGCCGCCACCTCATAGCCCCACTGCCCTGAGCCCAAACTCCAGGATCTGACCACTGATGCCCTAACACCAAGTCCCTTCGCCTGCTGGGCTTGGCTGGCAGCCAGGCTCCACTTCAGCCTGGGTCTGCCACCTAGTGCTCCAGCTGGTGGGGTGTCTTCCTGGGGCCCTCTGCACCTCCCCAGGCTGGCCTCCTACCCTGCCTGGCCTCCAAACAGCAGGTTCCCGACCACAAGGACCCTCTCCTGGCGGAAAACCCAATGAACAGGCAGCAGGGAGTCGCTGGTGCTGCCAGGCTCATGGAGACAGAGAAGTTGGCACACAGCCTGGGTAGCCTCAAGCCCCTTTTGGAGAAGGAGCCCATGGAGAATGGTGCCCCACTCTTCCCGGCCACAGACAGCCCCCAACCCAGAAAGGAAAACAGCTCCTCTGGTCACATGTGCCACTTGCGGCCCCACATATAAACACGAGAAACACCCGCAGCCCTAGTGTAGCAGGCAGAGGGAAGGAGCTGGAAGGAGGCCTGTGCAGAACCAATACCAGACGTGCAAAACAGTCATTCAGACTACCAGCAAAATTCCCTGCCTTGACCTTGAGGGCCCCAGAATTGAGATGTGGAGAACGAGACTCTGGGGGCTGCCCATCCTGGGGGGGGACACGCCTGGTCAGCACAGGCCGTACTCACCATTGGAGCGGTGGATGCAGGTGTGCTGGTTGTCACTAAGGAAGAAGCCACTGTGGCACTGACACTCGTAGCTGCCCATGGCGTTGACGCAGATCTGCTGGCAGCCACCATTATTGTCCTGACACTCGTCCACATCTGTGAGAAGAGGAAGAGAATGGGAACAGAAATCACACCTAAGTTGGAAGCAGGGCACGATGGGCTGGCGGGACAGGGATGCAGTGAATTTCCTCACATGGCCCTGAAGGGAGAGACTCCAGAGAGGGCCTCCCTGGTGCTGTATGATGGTGATACTGTACAGTGGCCTCCACGGCCCTGCACCATGGTGGCACTCTCCAGTGGGCCTCCACCAGCCCTGTATCACAGTGGTACTCTACAGTGGGCCTCCACTGTGCTGTGCTATAGTGGTATAGTGGGACTCCATGGGGACGCACCATGATGGTACTCTACAGTGGGCCTCCGTCACACTGTGCTACAGTGGTACGGTGGCCTCCGTCGGGCTGTGCTACAGTGGTATGGGGGTCTCTGTCACGCTGTGCTGCAGTGGTACAGTGGCCTCCATTGGGCTGTGCTGCAGTGGTACGAGGGCCTCCGTTGGGCTGTGCTGCAGTGGTACGGTGGCCTCCATCACGCTGTGCTGCAGTGGTACGAGGGCCTCCGTCGGGCTGTGCTGCAGTGGTACGGTGGGTCTCCGTCGGGCTGTGCTGCAGTGGTACGAGGGCCTCCGTCGGGCTGTGCTGCAGTGGTACGAGGGCCTCCGTCGGGCTGTGCTGCAGTGGTACGAGGGCCTCCGTTGGGCTGTGCTGCAGTGGTACGGTGGCCTCCATCACGCTGTGCTGCAGTGGTACAAGGGCCTCCGTCGGGCTGTGCTGCAGTGGTACGAGGGCCTCCGTTGGGTTGTGCTGCAGTGGTACGGTGGCCTCCGTCGGGCTATGCTGCAGTGGTACAAGGGCCTCCATCGGGCTGTGCTGCAGTGGTACAGTGGGTCTCCGTCGGGCTGTGCTGCAGTGGTACGAGGGCCTCCATCACGCTGTGCTGCAGTGGTACAGTGGGTCTCTGTCGGGCTGTGCTGCAGTGGTACGGTGGGTCTCCGTCGGGCTGTGCTGTAGTGGTACGAGGGCCTCCGTCGGGCTGTGCTGCAGTGGTAAGGTGGGTCTCCATCGGGCTGTGCTGCAGTGGTACGGTGGGTCTCCGTTGGGCTTTGCTGCAGTGGTACGGTGGGTCTCCGTCGGGCTGTGCTGCAGTGGTACGGTGGGTCTCCGTCGGGCTGTGCTGCAGTGGTACGGTGGGTCTCCGTCGGGCTGTGCTGCAGTGGTACTAGGGCCTCCGTCGGGCTGTGCTACAGTGGTACGGTGGCCTCCGTCGGGCTGTGCTGCAGTGGTACAGTGGGCCTCCGTTGGGCTGTGCTGCAGTGGTACAGTGGGTCTCCATCACGCTGTCCTGCAGTGGTACGGTGGGTCTCCGTCGGGCTGTGCTACAGTGATATGGGGGTCTCCGTCGGGCTGTGCTGCAGTGGTACGAGGGCCTCCATCACGCTGTGCTGCAGTGGTACGGTGGGTCTCCATTGGGCTGTGCTGCAGTGGTATGGTGGGTCTCCGTCGGGCTGTGCTACAGTGGTACAGTGGCCTCCGTCGGGCTGTGCTACAGTGGTATGGGGGTCTCTGTCACGCTGTGCTGCAGTGGTACGGTGGTCTCCGTCGGGCTGTGCTGCAGTGGTACGGTGGTCTCCGTCAGGCTGTGCTGCAGTGGTACGGTGGGTCTCTGTCAGGCTGTGCTGCAGTGGTACTACAGCCTCTGTCAGGCTGTGCTGCAGTGGTACAGTGGCCTCCGTCAGGCTGTGCTACAGTGGTATGGGGGTCTCTGTCACGCTGTGCTGCAGTGGTATGAGGGCCTCCGTCGGGCTGTGCTGCAGTGTTATGGTGGCCTCCGTCGGGCTGTGCTGCAGTGGTACGGGGGTCTCTGTCACGCTGTGCTGCAGTGTTATGGTGGCCTCCGTCGGGCTGTGCTGCAGTGGTACGAGGGCCTCTGTCACGCTGTGCTGCAGTGGTACGGGGGCCTCTGTCACACTGTGCTGCAGTGGTACACAGCGGGACTCCATGGTGATGCCACACAGTGGTACTCCCAAGAGTGACTCACGGAAAGAGTTCAATGGCTATGATGCTAGCTCACTCCAACTCAACAGTGCTCTCTGAGTGCCCAGCACCGTTCTAAGCATCTTACCTGTATTAATTCCTTTAATTCTCACAGCAACCCTGTAAGTCAGATCCAGGTACCAGTCCATTTTATAGATGAAGAAACTTAGGTGCAGAGAGGCAAAGTCACTTGTCTAAAGTCCTACATATGGTAAGTGGCAGAGGCAGGATTCAAACCTGGTGGTCCGACCCTGAAATCTCGGCTTGCAGTGACGTCGCCAGACCCCTCCCCTCGCAGGAAGACAGAGCAGCCTGCAGCAGCTGTCCCCAATACATGGAGCTTTGCCAACTGCACCCCACGAGCCCCTGTTTCCTGACCCTGCTCAGGTTTACCACCAGCAGCACAATACGGTAACAGGCTGGAGCACAGGGCAACACCCCAAGGCTCTGTGCCCTGCAACCGATTTCAAAAGCCCTGAGAATGAGGTTTTTATGAAGAAAAGGCCCTGACCTCCGGCTGCCAAGGCGGCTGCAGAAGGCTGCCAGGTGGTCTCCCCACTCGGGGAGAGACAGACCTCAGGGCCGACACTCATTTCTGACCAGAGGCCGCTAGCACAAAGGGCGCTATTGGCTGAAAAGAGTCTTTATGGAGTTCTGGTCTTGAAGAGAACAGCATGTTTCAATTACCAGAGTCATAACCCCCCCTCTGTCAGTTTGTTTAATGAAAGAAGGGCTTCTTAAACCTTAATGTTCCATGTCTATATTGTCATTTTAATAGGCAAATATATAAAACCACAAAGGCAGCGTGAGCTACTGGCTGCTTCTAGCCAATCCCCGGCCCCCGACACACACACACACACACACACACACACACACACACACACACACACTTGGCGTTGAGCCTTTGATACTCTTGTTTCTAACACAGACATCTTTTACTATTGGAACCAAGAGGATGTGAAAACGTAGAGTCGGTGACCTGCACTGAACTGGGACAGGACTCAGCTGCTGAGTGATGTGAGCTGGGTCCTATTTAGACTCACGGACAACAGACCACTTTACCACCTAAGACACCACGCAGCTGCCTTTGAGGCCGACAGCGAGGCCATTATTCTTTGGCAAGCTCAAATGCCAGCCGTGTGGGCAGCCAGAGGAGGCAGGCAGAGCTCTGAACTTTAAAAGCCACCAGCGGTTACGGCTAAAATGGGAGAGGTGGCCCTCGCTGAGAGGAGCCAGGTGATCGCAACATGACCCGACAGTCTGCCTGGGGAAGCCTAGCGGGGAGGGAGAGAGACTATTCTCAGCACCTTTCTCCATTCAACAAAGCCTTGCTTAGGACCCCCCGGGGCCCAAGGCCAATGCCACCTTTGCTAGGGGCAGCCCCTAGGTGTGGTGAGTGGTCGCCTCCCTCCCCTCTACACCTCAGCCATGTCTGCCCCTGGGGTCTGTCTCCAGCCTGCACTGGACCATGAAAAGCACCAAGCCAGGCCCCATGTCCCACTCATCCTGTTAACAACACAGCAAACATCCGTGAGCGTTGATTATGTGTCAGGAGCAGGCCCACGCGATCCTCACAGCTACCTGTGTGATAGGTCGTGTTACTGACCCCATTTTACAGATGAGGACACGGAGGCTCTGGGAGCTGAAGTAGCTTGAGTACAGTGACCCAGCCCTAGGGTCTAGCTGCAGAACACGTGCCTCTGGCCCCGGGCTAAGCTGGCCGCGTCAGCAAGTGTGCTCAGACTAATGCTGCAAAGAGCTGGCCGCTCCTCACACGAGCTGGAGTCCCTGTCAACTTGGGCACATGCACGTCAGGCCCAGAGGCAGCTTGCCGCGAGGAGCACTGGGAAGGGCCCAGCATTCCTGGGGTTAGTCCCATCTCTGGACCAATAAGACCCTGCAGAGAACTGTGCAGGCATACACTTAACCATGAGACCTGGATGTGGGCAGCTATCCCTGGGACTCAGTCCAGACCCCTCTCGTGTCACAGTTGTTACGTTTCTTCTCATGGTTCTCAGATTCCTTGCTCTGTACCTTGGCTTCCCTAGCTCCACTAAAAGTCCAACTGTAAAACAAACCAAACAGATACAGACTCTCAAATGCTGAGTTCCCGGTGCAGAAATGCTACCTCATCCCTGTCACAAGTAAGCTCCCTGGTGCCACCCATCTGCAGCCATCTGGCCTGGTCACTCCTCACCTCACTGAAAGCTTGAAGCAAAGGGCGGTTGACGTAAGGCATCTACAAACCCTCAGTGACCTGGCAGGGCGGCTGGGCCTTGGGACAGGGCTGTTTACTCTGCTAGGGAACAATGACTCGCCAGTGCTGATGAATAATGGGAAACAAATGCAGGGCCATGTAAACATGTCTTGTCCCCACTCCCAAGTGATAAAGCCCTGAGATGAAGCAGACGGGAAGAGGGGGCTGCCCCCTGCACCCTTTTCCCACTGTGGTCCAAACAGGCCTCACCCCTGGCCCCCGAGGAGGGGAGGAAATCACAGCTGCCAAATCTCTTGGATGGCCTGAGGCCATGAGCAGCATCTCTAGGGAAGGGCCTGAGGCCCCACGCACGGCTCTTGTACCCCGTGTCTCCAGCACTCCCAGTGGGCCCCACACTGAGGTCTGAAGAGCGTCCAACCGCAGCAGCTGGGTCTGTGAGATGCCGCCCACGAGCCCAGGACAGACTGGGCTCACCTGGAGGCCCTGGCCAGGTCTGGCAGGGCACTCTGAGAAACAGTCCTTTGGCCCTTTCCAAGGGGTGCTGTGAGCCCAGCACACCCCGCCCCACGGTCCCTCAGCATTCGGCACACTCTGTTATGAGAGGTGCCCTCATGGCGAGAGGGGAACCCATGCCTGGGAGTCAGGCTCCCTGAGTTCTGCCCCTGTCTTGCCCTGTGGCCTGTGGGTGATGTCCAGGCCTCATGCCTGGGAAGGGCTCCCAGAGCTTGAGGGATTGCAGACCATGTTCTCTGGGAAGCGCTCCTGGAATGCCAGTGGTGTGTGCAGCC